GGGGGGCAGATTTTTTACCTCTGCACCACACCCAGCCCGACCCCCAGGGTGCTGCTGTTGCAGGCAGCACTGTAGTGATTCTCTTTGGGGACCACGGTGAGGGTGTTTTTCCCAGAGGTCTTAGGTCTAGGAGGAGTCACCTAAGTGGCAGGACCACGCTGACACGTCTGAGGGACTGCACTGACCTTTCCAGAACTCGCCTGCTTAGAAGCCTGTGGAACGTTAGGTGCCCACCCATAGCGACCCTGTGGACAAGGGAGCAAAACCCCATCGGGTCCTGCAGCATCCTCACCACCTCGGAACTTTAAGGAACCTTGTTTGGTGCCACGTATCCAGCCTGGCACTTCCCATGATCTTAGCCACGGGGCAACCCAGTGAGGTAAGGCGTTGCAGGAGAGAGAAGAGCCTTCGAGAGATGAAGAGCCGTCTCTCGCAGAGTCTGATGTCAACCCAGCGTCCCTGGCAGATTCGGAACTAGACCCGTGCTTCTCAGACTTTCATGTGCACCCAAACCAGCCGGGATCGAGTGTAACACGCTGGGTCAGGGGTGGGGGCTGTGGTGCAGGGGCGTCTCACCAGCTCGGACGTTGCAGGAAACAGTCGTGCCTTTCTCGGTAGCCCCATACCTTTCAAGTCTCCCCCTCCAACTCAGTGGTCAGTTCCTCCATCAAACCCCCTTTGGGTGTGTGCCCCATCCGAACCTGGACCAGGGCCCTGGCTCAGCACACTGTTACACCACCACAAGTCCCCTGCCTTGTTCTCAGAGATGCTCAGTGACACACGGTAGCTACCAAACACATGTTGAATGGAGGTGCTCCTTGTCTCAAAGGATCCCAACACCAGCCATCTCATTGTATCAGGTCGGAACCTGGGATTCAGTCTGTCGGATTTGCTCCCAAATCACACGTGTCAGATGATTTTTTAAAACCACACTACCCCTTCACGTGCTAGTTTCTTTGGTGAGTTATCTTTTGTGCAGTCTGGGCATCTGTGAATTAACAGGTGTGTGACTGGTGGGAAAATCTAGTTGTGACATCTCTTCACATCTACCCTAACCCACCCCATCGCCAACTCAAGGGCCCCGAGGACCGCAAATCACTCTACTTCTTAACTGCCCGTCCCTCCTAGTCCAACCACCCACTGCCCGCAGGCACTCCCCCCGGGGTACAACCCAGTCCATTTGGTGTGTGGTCAGCAGAGTGATCTCATGGGCAAGTCTGATTTTCAAAATGAAGGAGACCCTTATCTTGGAGGGGGTCCTGCCTAGCCTGGCCCCTGCCAGCCTTGCCCTGCCCCTGCCTCCACCCTGCCCTGCTGCCTTCAGCCCCTCTGTCCATCCGGCTTCCTTTAAACAGTCTTCCCTGCCCAGAACGCTTCTCGTGAACTACTGCCATCCTCCACCGTGGAGCTCAAGGACCACTTCCCCAGAGGTTCTCGGCGGCCCCCACTCCCCCGTGCCCAGGCCCATTCCTCTTACAGGCTTTTCATGCCCATAGGCTGGGCTTCACTGGGGGCACATGTCACAGGGGACCTCCTCCCTGCAAGACGTGCCATGTACACTTAGTGTCTCATCATATGAGCTCAAATTCCAAGCGGTGAGAGTTGGGCTCCGGTTTCAGACAAATCCCTTTATGGGACTGTAAAGTAGACGCCCCCCGTCTTGATGAAACAGTGCTGAAGCAGAGTGCCCATGTCTCACCATTCAGCCCACTTTAAGTATCCAGGTCAATGAGTTTTGGTAAGATGGACGCACAGAGCTACTTCCTGCCACCCACGGAGCTTGACCTCTTAAAACTGGTTGCCCTATGAAACTGGTTCTCAATCTTCCTCATCCCGCGACCCTTTCATACAGTCCCTCGTGGTGGTGACCCCCAACCATAACACTATTTTCGTTGCTACGTCATCACTGTCATTTTACTACCGTGATGAATCGGGCGACCGCTGCGAAACAGTCATTTGATCCCCAAAGCGGTTGCGACCCACAGGTTGAGAGCTGCTGGAATCCTAAGTATCTGTTTTTTTGTGCCCTGCTTCCTAGCGTGAGTTTTTTGAGATTGTGTGTGTGTGTGTGTGTGTGTGTGTGTGTGACCCCTGGCTTTGCGGAGTAGTGTCCTTGTCTGGCTGGACCATCCGCTGGATAGACACACAAGTGTTCTTCACCTTTGAGCTTTTATGTATAATGCTCATCTCAAGTCACAACCAGGCCTTTGGACACATTTTCTTTTCTCACAGCTCCGCCCTCAAGTTCTCCCCCTCCGCTGTAGCATCGCTCTGAAGAACGCAACTCACTGCCATCAAGTCCATGCTGACTCACAGCGACCCCATAGCACAGGGAGAACTGCCCCCCGGGGTCTCTGAGACTGTAACTCTAGGAGAGTAGAAAGCCTGGGGAGAGGTTGGTGGTTTCAAACTGCTAACCTGGGGGTTGCAGGTCAACCTAAGGAACTCAGTACGCCACTGCAGCTCCTGCAGCAGCTCCTCATCCACTGCCATCGGGTCGATGCCGACTCATAGTGACCCTGTAGGGCAGGGTACAGCTACCCCGGGAGTTTCCCAGTCTGTGACTCTTACAGGAGTCAAAAAGCCCCATCTTTCTCTTTAAACCAGATGTGGGGAACCTTGCTCCTGCCCGGGGTCATTTGGACATTTATAACATCAATCATAGGCCACACTGGTCAGACGGTTCATTAACTCAGCCCGAGGGTGAAGGCGGCGTTCACAGGCAGGCCTTTGGAGCCCTCGGCCTCTTGGTGCCAGCTCTGGCCTCTGCTTTTCTCAGGTGGTGTTGCAAAGCTCCTTGGGACTGCCTTTTCCTGCCCACAGGCCATGCCACTGCTGTAGACCTCAACCCCAATACAGCTTCAGCTCTGAGGGTAAGCAAAACTCAGCACCAGGGGCACCCCACGTCCTGCTTCCTGTCCAAAAACACATGGCTTTACTTGGGCTGTGGGGGGGCGGGGTGTCCACCACTGTCTCACGCTGTGGCTCCTGGTTCTGCTACTGCTGAGCCTCTGCCCCTCCTTAGGGATATCACAGCTGTCTCCTAGACCCAGGAGGCTCAGTGCTCAAGAGTCTCGGCGTCCACAGGGTGCACTCCACTCCTAATACGGCACTCATGCTGGTCCTGAGATTTCTCTTTCTGCTGCAGAGACGGCGGGTTTCTACCCAGCAGGCTGGCAACCAGCCACTCACGGGGGATCCTATCATCCAATCAGCATCCTCGTGCACCTGTGTACTCAGACCCATCAGGAAACCGAAGGCCATTTGGTTGCCATGGCTGGAAGAACCATATTCCATCATTGACTGCCGCACATGGGAAGTGTAGGTTTACTTTTTAAAGATAGAGCCAAGTTGTTTTCCAGAGTTGCCGTGTCCCCTGCCTTCCCACTGGCATCGGAGGGTTCCCGGGACCCCACAGCATCTCCAGCACTCAGTGCCAGCATTTCCCAACTCCTCTGGTGGGGGCCGTGTCATGACCAGGTTCCACAGGGTGACACGTGACAGTAAACCTGCACCACAGGTGTGTCCGTCCAGGTAGACTAGAGAAGCACAATCATAGACATAACCTTCCTCTAGTGCTCTAATGCCCCACCCCCCCTATCATGACCCCAGTTTTATTTACAAATCTGGTTAGACCAGAACATGTATACTTGTACAGATAAGAGCTAGCAACACGGATTCCAGAACAGATAAACCCCTCTGGATCAATGAGGGGAGCAACGATACTAGGAGGGGAAGAGAAGGGGGGAGTAAGGGGGAACTGATCATAATAACCAATGTATGGCCCCCCCCTTCCAGAGGGACGGACAACAAAGTGGGTGAAGGGAGACAGCGGTTGGTATAAAACATGACAAAAAATTTACAAATTATCAAGGGGATGTGGGAGAGGGAGGAAAAAACCAAGCTGATACCAAAGGCTCAAGTAGAAAGAAAATGTTTTGGAAAAGATGACAACATATGTACAGATGTGTTTAACACAATGGATATATGTATGGATTGTGATAAGAACTGTAAAAACCCCCAATAAAATGAAATTAAGAGCTTTATATAAAAGAGCAGTTGTATATTGAGAAAACACCCAGTCCTGTCCAGATCAAATCCACAAGTCCTATATTAGCCCATATGTCCAAAACCAGCCTATAAATTCCTCTTCAGACTCACACAACACATGTAATGATACAGAATGCAGGAAGATCACAGGCCAGTGGGTGGGAAGTATTGTGGATCCAGTGGCAGTGGAAGCATCTCAGTACCGGTGTGGGTCTCCACGTGGCTCCCCCAGTTCCAGAGCTCTGGCTCCATCCGCGTAGCTCCATGTGTCTTGCCAGCAGGAAGGTGAAGCAGAGAGAGTGTGGGTCTGGCCTCCAGTGAGCTATTTATCTTCCTTAGTGCCTCCAAATGAGGTCATCACGCTTCGACCTGATTGACAGGCTAAACTCCATCCCTTCACTCTTAATAGTCTCCAATTGACACCAGATTATGTAGCACAATAGACTTCTGCGGCTTTCTAGGGTCACGATGGGTTAGAACCAACTTGATGGCAATGGATGGAAGAGAATCTTTTATGAGAACAGATCACCAGGCATTTTCGCTGGTGGAGCCACTGGGTGGGTGGTGACGCGTGCTGGTGCCATGTGGATTTCGACTTTCCACAACCCTGGAGGATGGAGCCGAACTGCTCTGTAGGTGCCTGAGGCTCTGACCTTTCCAGAAGCCAACACATTCATGTGTCTTCAAATCTTTTGCTCATTTGGGAAAGAAAACTGGTTTTAGCCTACTGAGTTTCAGGAGTTATCTCCACATTTGGATATAGGTCCTTTGTCAGATAGATGCTTTGCAGATATTCTGGTGTGTGGCTTTCCATTTTAGGTGGAGTGTGTGTGTGTGTTGTGTGTATGTGTGTCTCTCGTTCTTCTCCGTGTGATTATAAGCTCCATGAGGATAAGCCTCATGTCCCCTTTGGCCAGCATACCACCAGGCACGTAGTAGATGCTTCCTCCATAATCTTTTCTTGAAGGAACAAAATAGCAACAATCTGAAGTTCCTCTCCACCTCTTTCCCCATGACCCCCAGTTTTGTAACATGAGCTATTGATCCTGAGGGGATAGCCCTGTGGGCCTTTAGTTTCAAAGCCATTTCTAGTAAGGCTTCTTGGGAGCTCCCTGCTTCCCCCCATGGGACTTCAGAGTCTCATGAGAGGTGCTCACCGGACTGTTGGGAGAGGGAGGTGCTAAAGTACATTATTTGTTGTCGCTGTTGGGTAACCATTGAACTGCTACCCCCAAGGCCAGTGGTTCAACCCCCCAGCCACCCCTCAGGAGAAAGATGAAGATTTACAGCCGGGGAAACCCTACCCCCTGGTGGTGGTGTGGTTCTGAGTTGGGCTGTCATAGGGAGACAGGGCCTGCTACCCTCTTACACAGTTACAGTCTGGGGAGCTTACAAGGTTATGAGTCAAATGAGCCAGATGACAGTGGGCCTGGTTTTTAGACTAGTCTTTATTCAGCACACGTGTTCATTAGATCTAGCCTAAGGTGACCAGATTTTAACATTGGTAAAGCGGGACACCATTGATAAAACTCCTATCCTGGCGAAATAGCCACATGGCAGC